GAATAATGTCCTTAAAAATGCATAACAAAATTAAGGGGGTAAATTTGTCAAAATTTGGCCTACAGACTAAGGGATAAAGCAAATATAAAAGTAAGTTAGCTTTAGGTTAATTAAATTCTGCCTTTTTTTGTCAAAGATACAAAGAAATTAAGGGAAAGAGTAACTGCCTCAGTGTGATACAATGCTGCGCCTCATTGCACTACGGTTTTTTTGAGTCAAAATATTGTCACATCTATCCTAAGTCTAGGTTTTGTCCATGTAACTTTTTTTTATTTCCTAAAAATCAATGAAAGCACTTGCAAGAAGTATAGCAGGGCTTGAAAGTTGTTGGAAAAAAAATACAAAAATGTATAAATGTAGTTAGTTTTAAAATTATCCTGTAGCTTTTCGATAAATAAAGCCATGCGGTAATTCGCCAATAATATCGGTGCACATGCATCCAACTTTATTGTAACCGTAAAGTTAATGGCATTCTAATTCACAGTTAGGCAAGTTCTGTAAATAGCGCAAAGGAGTTATCGAGTCTTATTAATACCGTAAAACGCCAACATACTGTATGTACTCCCATGAGATGTACCCTCCACCAGTTTCAGAAAGCAGATTTAGATTTATACCCGGGTACTAAATATTTTTGGCCTTTTGATTTTTGGCCTTTTGATTTATAGCCTATTCTGTATTTTTCTGTTAGTATTGATTTGAAAGTACTGTACATAGATACACGCTTAGCATAATGTTATGATAATTTAAATTATGCAATTTATCATTACAATCAATACATACATATGTTAAGTCAGTTACAATATTAATATGTCAATGTTATTTCGCGTCGTGTCACACTTTTTTTTCAATCAGCAATTGTGGTCGGGCAGATGTACCCTGATTAATACAGTCCCACAGGGGTTACCCAGGGTACTAAAATCAATTAGGTTGGATCTTTCAATTGAGTATGAACGTTACTTGTTTGATATCACATGGCCAGTCAATACTTTCATAAGTTATTGTAATACTGTGAGATGAAATCAGAACTTGCATTTCTATCAAAATATCTTTTGGGTTTGCCACAAAATTTTGTTAAATTATGAATAATCAAAAAATGCAAGTTTTTGAGCCGTTAGTTCTAAACGGACAGTTGCCGAATTGTCTATGTCTAGGAGTAGTAGTCATTGAGTATGACATCGGATTTCGTGTCTCTATGCTAACCAAGGCTTTGAAGCCGACAATATGATTTCCTTCCACTAATTTAACCCATTTTCTGTACCCAAATTTTCGTGCCGGGTATTTTATTAACCGTTGTTGGCGTAATGAGAATTACGAATATAAGATATAGCTAATTAATAGATGTCAATCTACAATCACGACTATTCAATACGAAATGCGTTTAGTGATTTCATCATGTCATTTATAAAGCGCTTATCTTATTGCAAGTCCCAGAAAGCGCATGGCCATCAATTAAAGTACATAGATCTGCTCAACTTTTAGCTTTTGGGATATTAGAGATTGCGGAAATCCGGTTTGTCAGTCGTAAAGAACCTGTCGTCGGTATATACTCATTAGTCAAATTGTTCACGATCAAGTATGTCTCCTGCCGAACAAACGCATGCTTGACTCGATCTACACCGACTTTTTATGCTCGGGAACTACAAGTCAAAAACACACGACCTATAGGTGCTGATCTAGAGAAGGAAGCTTGAAGGTATACTATATCTTCTGAGATGCGTCCCGTAAAAAACTATCGATATATGGAAGTATTGACACATTCTATATTTTACTAGCAAATAAAATCACTGCAAACCGCTATTAATTACGTAGGAATTCACAATAACGTTGAATGGTTGTATGCAAGGTTTATGCATACATGATCATTGCGTGCAACACAATGACCCTGTGTGTTTACATTTATTGCACTCTGCATTCTTGTGACAGCGACAAAGTTGAAGCAGTTGACATTTATGACAAGTATGATAAAATAGTGCAAGTTTTTTTGGCAACTTTATCTAATCTTAAAATTTCTATTACTATATACAGTAAGATCAAAGGCCTCGGGTCTCGGGTCTCGGCTCAGGTCTCAGCTCAGGTCTCAGGTCTTAGGTCTCAGGTCTTAGGTCTCAGGTCTTAATTCTCGGGTGCATTCACGAGAATATCTGAATAACTGTTTATTTCAAACTTTCAAGCTCTTAGGTATGTAGCAGCATTGCAAAACGATCAACGCAACAATTCCATACAATGACCATCAATCGGAAAGTCAAATTCCCCTGCTCCTGTCACATCATGCATCTTAAAGAAAACATCGAGAAAAAGTATATTCGGCAAAATCAATATCAATTATGTTAACAAACGCCTGAAAATCCCATCATACCGCGCAGTCCTGTAACATAAATTAGATTGGTGAAAGTATGTTATCATAGCTGCCCAAATCAGAATTGCACATTTAAACCAATGGCTAGGCTTGTGTGCACTATCTCTGCTCGGATGCCCAAGTACAGTCAACCCTCTTTATAGTCACCCCCTCTATAAGCACATCATATAAAAACCTCTTTATAAGCACGCCATGTTTGAGAACCAATTACTATTGAACTTATAGAAAAAACCCTCTATATAGTCACAACCTCTTTAGAAGCACATTTTCAACAAAAGTTGCATTGTTCCCGACAGCGTGACTATAGAGAGGGTTGACTGTATGCCAAATGTATCTCTTACTATATCGGTGCATAATGCGTTATTGTCTGCGTTGGCTTAAATCCCGAGGACCGTGATTTTGTTTTTCAGATTGAAAATGGCTGATGATATAAAGGGGTCCTAGTATTCATTCCTACATCACAGCAGTAAAACAATGGTAAAGCCAAGACCCAACAATCTCTGTGATAACTGAAAAACATAACTCTTGAGGTCAGATTATCAAGTTCACCTTTTATAGTAGCGTCCGACCAATATTTTCGCCGTGCATACTCCCTAATACCTAGCAAAGATTGACATGACATCAAATGTAAGCCAGCGAATGACATAGTCTATGCAAGTTATCACTTGTCCCAGATTTTCCGGCTTCCTCAAAAGATGACTTCCGGAATCTTTTTTTTAACTTGTATTAGATTCTCCAGACTATGTGTCCTGTATGAGTATGTTAAGCAATAATAGACTTCCGCCGTATTATTGAACCCCGTTGGCCCTGATCCTGAATAGAATATAATCAAACAAAGCAATATAGTATGACAATCATCAATCGGTAATAGTCATCCACGAAAGTTACTATGATCCCACCCAATCCTTAACACTTTCTCTATCGATTATGTCTGTTTCTTTTTAATCGTAATCTGCGAAGCTTACCAAACCGGGCATTCATCTTCTTGCATACTTGCCAAATCGAGATGAATCTATAGTGGTACTGAACCTTTTGAACAAACTAATCCAACGTTAACGGTGATAAAGGATGAAGTGCAGCATTGGGTAGACGTGATGTAAAGAACTGTTGAAATACGGAATAGTAACGTGATTGATGTTAGCGTCCGAGTCATTGTTTAATTCACAAATACACAATGGTTAGACAAGAGCACCTTAAAAGATATACGGAGATGGTAATTAAGAAATTTGGTTATGTTACTCCCAATATAGCATAGATGGAAGAACACGGAAGATATGTCATCATAGTCCCTGCGTTTCAATAAGCTGTTGTTCTAAATACTCGATAGGCCCACCGAGAATCCTTAGCAAAAGTGTGGGAGAAGGTTTGACGCACGTCGCGTAAATTCTCGAGACTGGGAAAATCATACCGTCCATTGATTCACATAATAACATATTCGGAACGGATACAAAGTGTTGTTAATGACTTCCGTAAAACAGCGAAAACGCTCTTTTGGGGATGGGGCATATAAAAAAAAATAATCAAAATAGCTATTTAGCAACCAATGCCCCATGAACATGGAAGCTTGCAACAAGTCAAAATTAAGGATTGCACTACTTTTTTTTTTATCCCACACTCGTTTTCATAAATGGACAATACTTGACCATTTTTGGATCTTGACTAATCCATTGGCTCGCAGTCAAACAAAGAGAAACGGATTTAAAAAAAAAAAGATGCCGGAAGGATCTAGTGTAAGGCAGAACTTGCATGAACGTCTTGCCCATGACGATTATCTAACCAAGTATGGATGTGAAACATGAAACAAGCCACGTAAGCATATGACACTGACTAACTATCAATGGTTATCTTATTTCACTCCCATCCTACGCGCGGAACCGAGTCAAGGTTACGTTTGTTTACTAAATCGGAGTAAATTACATCATAGCCCATGTCTGAAATGTTTTGCAAAGACGTCGAACCCAGCGTCGAACACTACCTTGACATCATAGTGATCAACATAATGCGTTGTTGAACGATCAAGAGCACCCATTCAAGGTAAGATATTTACAAAAAGCCTTGATTAGATAAATGTTTCTTGGCGTCTTTTAAAACAATCGCTCTATTTTTCATGTTCATTATAAATAGTCGGTTACGTAATAACAAGACAAGAGTTTTCTCTCCCAATCTATTGACGTCTTATTACGTCAATGCGAACACATCTTATTGGCTCTGGTGTGGCCGCGTCATTTTGAGACAGAGACTAACAATCAGAAAGGAAGTATTGTGGTTATGTTAAGCTTAAAGGGAAGGCAAGGTTATCCATTTAATGATCACGCCGGGTCCAGTAAACATCGTAATTCCTTTTATAACAATTTAGGTGACAAACATGGAAGGTAATTGCTCATGAAAAAATTTGTCTTGACGAACTATGAAGCAGTGGTCACATAAGTTTGTCCCCCCAAACGACATTGCATCACCTTCTCCCAACTATAAAAATCTCTCCGATCTCCTTCGAAGCCTCTGTCATAGACAACTCCAACGGTCTGGATTAATATCATCAACAATTGCCGGATAACGGTTTGTAATGCTCGAATAAAATGCGTTTAACGACCCGGATGTCACTCACGTCACTTCCCTTTGAAATCATTGGACGTATTTTCGATTATTTGGAATTACCAGATCTTGTTGACTGTTCTCTTACGTGCAGGCCACTTCATTGGTTTTTCAACTTCCATCAATATGGGTTATTCAGACCACTATGGCATAATGTTCCTTGCCAGATTCCTAACAATGGGGTTTCTGATCTTAGGTTATACTATCGAAACGCTGTAATGATTGATGCCACACTTTACATAGTCGTTCTTTCACTTAACAGTCCAACGTGTTGGCAGCTACGTACAAATGAAAAGAATCTCGAATGGTTATGCATCCCTGTGAAGGTATTCGGTCAGTATCGGCCAGTTAAGTATCCAGCAACTTCGTCGATATCGAATCAGATATATATTCATGGTGGCATTGATCTTGTTACCGGACAACCAACTAATGCCCTGTATGAATTGAGTGTGAATAATATGCATTTGCGTACATTATCGCAGAGCAATGTACTTCCTCGTCCGCGCTCAATGCATACGCTTAATGCCATCGATCGTAATCGCTTTATGATTTACGGTGGCCAATGCTTTACCAATGGTAAATCAGTAGATATATAACCCACTTTATTGATTTTATTCAAACGAAATATTCGTCTTCTTAAATTCTTCCCTCTACTTTAATTTAGACAGACCATATGATTGTCGAGATTATGCAATTTATGACATTACGAATAAAAGTTGGACTATTTATAATCCAGTACCCAACATTCCATATGCAAGATCATTGCATCTTACCGTGTTAGTAAGAAATGCACTTTACATATACGGCGGCCAGCAAATTACTTATGTAGGCTTATCCGAAATACACAACGATGATGGCATTTGGGCCTATGATACACAAAATAACCAATGGAGGAAGTATCTTTCCCCGAATATTGAACAATCAACATCGTTCAGACTACCGTCCGAGTGGATATCCACCACCGGGCGGAAACAAAGTCCTGGTCGGCGTGTTGGTGCTGCAATGGTTTGTTTCAGAAACAAAATTGTCATATTCGGTGGATCAACGACTGATAACTGGGAAAGAAGTCAAGTTGAAAAGCCTTGGGAATACATGAAGATATTCTCGGCGTCTAAAAGAACGTGGGAACACATTAGAATTCGGGGCTTACCAAGAATGCAATGTGTTGCGTTTACTAGTGGAAGGCGAGAATTTTTTGTTATAGGTGAAAACGCGAACACTGGAGAAATTATGATGGGACGGATATTTGATTAACGGTTGATTATACTGTGCTACATAAGACTATGGTTATATTTGACGTATGATGTCAGGAATTAAACTTCGAATATGCTTGTATTTTATAGAAATGGTCTGATGAAGATCATCTACTTATGTATATAGACAGCATAGTAGGACTATTACTATGGCAAATTTTATTATTTTTAATCGGACAATAAGAACTATGAGGTGACTGAATCAACAGTCCCGCTTTCAAATGAAAGTCTTCATGATCTCATGAATTATGCAAGCAGCTGCTAAAAGAAATAAACCCATACGCGCATACATTAGACACTAAAAGTACAGAAACTGTTTGGGCCCATCAGAAGAATAATGGTATTTGAAGAAGTCAAAATCTGTGTTTATTGTTACGGTCGGGAATTAAATGGGGGTTTGGGAGAGCGATTTATCTTTCGCGTGGGTGTGTTCGCCGACCGGGGGATGTTACCAGGCTTAGCTCGTACCATCACCCTTACTACAATTAAGACTGAATTAAGCCTTCAAGGGACCTATTTTAATTATGTGCGCTTCTCACTCCTTATCCGAGTTTGTTTCAAACACTCGTGAAATAAGGGTACTAATAGAGCAATAACAACAATTATTCTATTAAAGAATCAAAGGGGAATAATTAATAAACAGGGCTATCTTTGATTTGTTTGTCGACTAGTCGGTTTTTGTCACTTGTCTCTACTAACTAATTAAACAATAATCGTCTCGATAATTAATTATAAACTCTCGTTCCGTTATTCACGTAATTGATCAGCGGACAGCTTACTAGCTTGATAAAAATCAATACTATTCCGTTACAGCTTAAGTGAGCCGTTTACTGGAGTGTCCAATTATTTCGACGATAGAAATAAAATTTATATTTATAATAAAGGATCTCGGGAGAATATTACTTTAAGATCAGTAATATTTTATTTATTTATAACAATTTCAACTTTCGATGTTTTCACAACATGGACAACATGAAGATTTGGCGATGGAATATGAGCTACTTATATATCTTCGAGCGTCACTGAAAAACTGTAACGCTTTTTCACTTGAAAAAAATTAATTATGCTAATTATTATTATAGCGTTTTGTACTGTCACTGATTTTTTTGCAGCACAGCGCTGTCACCGATTTTTCGAAACGCTATTATTACTAATTTAATCTTTGTGAAACTGGACTAAAATTAATGTCGATATAATGGATTTGTTTGACTGCGGAGGAAGATTTTATCATGTAACTCACTTATCTGATTCATCAAGCACTATTGATATCAGCTTTTTTAAATCTGCATACAGACACTTCCTGACAACGAATGGTATTGGAGTTAAAAAAAATGTTGTAGTTTGATGAAATCGATTAGAATAAGAATACAAAATACAGTCGACCCTCCTTAAAAGAACACAGTCGGGACAGCCAAATTATGTTCTGTTCTATCATAGAGGTGTCTTATTATTATAGAATTTACTTAAGATTATATAGCAAACCATTTATAATATTTATTAAACCAATCAAATACTTGGACGTTCTAACATTGACCAGGCCTGCGAGAAATTACATGTAACAATAACTACTAACTATGAAGTCTTTCTGTTTGCTAAAGCAGAGTAGAACGTGACCTAATTCATTGGTCAAATAATGAAATTAAAAATTTGTCAGCCAATCAACATGCAGTGTTCTTATACGGAGGTAAATGTAATTATAAGCGTTCTACAAAATTATGTTCCTGTTCCTTTATAGATTGTTCTTTTATAAAGAGAAATTTACTAATAATCACTTCCGTCCCATAAAAAAATATGTTCTACATGAAGAGGTGGTTCTTTTATGGAGGGTTTTTTCATGGAGGGATGACTGTATATAAATTCATGTGTACAATCTATATATAGTCCACTAGATAGAACTACAACTTCATAACAATAAAATTTTTAATGTAGCATTACTTTTATTGAAAAATATAACCAATTAGCTCCATTGTCAGAGGAGTGTAACTCAGTCACTTTCAACCGTACCAAAATTTATTATAGTAATATGGGTCAGAAGATTATTGAAGAACCAGGCAGTTTTCACGGGTAAAACCGTCCTCAGTAGTCAATGTCAAGAAATGACATGGCATACTAATACAGGAGGATCAATCAATATCTTTTGCTTCAGATGAAAACTCCCTTTCCAGAAATAAGATTGTTCGAAAGCAGATGATGCTTCGACTGAATAATTATCTTAAGCACATTGAAAAGGAGTTTATTGAAAAACAATGTATTTGCGTCGCGAGGCTGGACCGCAGTAGTAGCCAACGATGTGATGCGGATCCTCGTCTTTGTTAGTCCGGGGCGACCGAGCCGCAAATATTAATAGCTTAAACTGTGTTCCTCCAATAGTGCTAGCCTCAATCCCATCGCGCGAGACATAAATCAAGAGAGTTGGAACCAATTCTATCACCATGACTATGGCGTCGATGTAAACTAAATGAAAGAATGGTAGTAGCTTTCCTATTAATGAAGCAAGCCTTCTTCCGGTCTTCAAATAAAGCTTAGAAAATGCTTATTTTCTTATCGGACAAAATTTCTGCGCCTTCATATTAATATTTAATATTGAAATTTTCTACTTTTTTAATTCACATATCATGTGACTAAATGTATTATGTTGGACAAAGTCTGCGCGCATTTAAACCGGAGTTGTCTGATCTTCTTTAACTTGAAACTTTCGACATCAACTTATAACGAAAATGGTCACGGTAAGTGGATCGTACGGTTATTCTTCCATGTCGAATTGTAGAGGTAATGCTTACATTATTTTTACAGCAGGACAGCAAACATGCAACCAACGAGACGCTCGTAGTTAATCTCTCCGAACTCCCCAAGCCAGCCAATGTTGAGTTTACACTCCTTACAAAAACGGTTTCTGATATCTTACAACACTATAATGACTTGTCGGATCCCAAAATTATCAACGAAATAAACAACTTAGAATATAAATTGTTGGTTGAAGACATCGTTCAACAACAAAAGGCATTCATAGAACTCGTCGAAGACTGTACCCATGCTGTTAATATCATGTCTACTTACATGAAAGCCAACAACGAGTAATTATTATCTTCTTATTTATTGCTAATGCTATTACCTTTTCTAACAACTATGAATGAGAAGTTAACAAATATTGCATCATACATATATAAGATATATCGAAATCATGATGCAAGAACCCGTTTCAGGCGAAGAATTCTTGGATGCAATAACATCTCTTCTTGAGTTGGCAACTGCGCATAAAAAATTGGTTGAAAAAGAAAATAAAGCCTTCTGCCAACTTCAATTCAATCTACAAAACATTCTTAGCAATCTGGGCGATTACAATGTTGACCTTAGCGGCGACCAGCGACTGATGGGTCACATGTTAGAGCAGGACGCCTCGAAGTTTCGCAAAACAGAGAAAGAGAACAAATGGGCTGCGGTTGGTACCGGCATTGGAGCAGGTATTGCCTTGGCTGCAACCCCATTCACTGCTGGTGCCTCATTAGCTGTCGTTGGCGCGCTCGCCGTTGGATCTGGTGGCGCTATGATAGGAACTACTATACAGACGATAATCAACGGTGGCAGAGCCAAGGGAACCGAAAAGGAGTTGGAGCTATTACGACTTGAGGAAGTAAAGATGCATGCGATTGCTATTGCTGAAGATTTGAAAACGATACTGGTTGAGTTAACCCCGCTAGATACGTTTTGGCAGACTGAAATTGATGGATGTAACGGCATTTTAGAGAAGTACCAGGATATAGCTAACACTTCCACTTTTAAAGTTACCAAGATGAAAGGAATGACAACAATTAGGCAATGGGATTCAGTCAAAGCAACTTTTGAGAGTTTCCAACGAAAGTTAGAGCAGTGTATCAATTAGGTAAGCAATTACCAGGATGCTATATGTTGATAAACGTTGCATGGGCTCATATTATTAGTGCATTCGATAATTACTAGAAAGTTAACGTTTTGAATATACATGTCCTTCTCTAGAATACATCTCAAAGATGAGATAGATGTATTTAATACAAATTTTATTTATTATGAGAATTACTTCAGTGATTTATATGTATGTGTTTCATAAAATTAGTATTAACTTAAATATCTTCATGGACGAGAACAGCGTTTAGCAATTCCAAAGCCCAAGAGGTCACTGTTCGAGTTTTCAAGTCTTACACTTGGTATTACTAGGATTATATTCTGACCAATTCAGTCTCTATACGAGGATGAATATAATAACTATTACTTGGCTACGTTATTACTAGCTTATAGGCGGTGTTATTATTAGGGATATGGTATTTCGCTTATTGTCTTCATTCAAGCTCCCAATCAGTACAAGTACGACCCTGCTTGCTTATCGTCCTTTGCATGTAAATAAGCTATTGTATTCCCATATTAGATAAAGAAGCACTGTTATTTACTAGCAATTCCAACTATGAACCAGCTATTAAGAGATAGCACCGTTGTGCTCTGCTCATTTTGAGCAATCTAGTGAGTAATGCTGTAGAGGTTCGAATAAATCGTATGAACTTTGTGCGAATCTATGTATCGAAAGGGAGATGACCAATAATACTTATTCCTAGCTTTTAATATATGTGTATGCTACTTTAGATTTGCATTCTTCAGACATACTTTACTTATTTATTGCTAGTATTTAATTCGGACGTCACTGGGTTTGATTATTTGAAGATGTGTAGTTTCAGAGAAAGCCTATGCAGAACATAGAGATAAAATATATTCCCCAAAAAATCGAATTTGTTAGGCCAATCGATCGTCTTCCGAGAAAGCTTTTGACGTATCTCCTCTACGAAACAAGATTATAACAGAAAGTGATTATCGTCATTGTCATTTTTCATGGAGTGTCTTCTCCCCACGCCTTTTTGCCTTGTCCTTGGTTATGGTGATAAGATCGAAGACGTTAAACCTTTCGGCAACCTAATACTAAAAGTATTAATATTTTAGTCACGTGCAGAAAATCTTATTACCTGTCCTGAATAATTTTCAGTTCCAATTTTATCTTTTTTAAGCCTCGGTTGCCTTGTATATTACCAACACGTATTAATCTAATCCTTTCTCACAAGCCTCGCCTTCTAGTAAAGGGTATGTCTCTAACTGTCACACTGGGAAATTCTGAGGAATCATTATCAGAGGTCACCACTAACCAAGCAACCACCAACGACACGGAGAACGATCACCCAGTCACAAACGGTCAACGTCATGATGACAGCGAAGAGTTGTTACGGGAAGGTTCGGAATCCAGCCATAACCCCGATTCAGAGTCTAACGGTATGTAAGCTCGTAATTGTTTTCTCATGAATGTGGGATAACCTCTTCATTGACAATACGCAAAGTACAGGAGGGGACTATCAAATGATACGGAATTTTTCTCAGTGAGGAAACTGGCATAGTATTGATAGTTATTCCCCGGAAATTCTTACATTCAGGCACGCCAGCGAAACTCAATCGCTTTCTTTCTTCGTTGCGCCTTATTACTTTGCAACAGATTATTTTTCCGACGAAAGCAATTCGGAGGATGACAATATAACGCATTCTTTAAAACGTGAGCGTAAAACAATATTTCAACGTCTCATGGTGATCGAAACTCAGTTCTCAATTATCAAAAAACGGTAAGGGAATTATTATATATGTGTTTAACTTTGCTAAAGATAAACCCTTTTTTACTTAACACCCCACACTCTTTGCAACCCCCTTTTTTTTACCCCATTCTATAGGGTTCATGCTGCAAAAGAGGCCTTGTTAGAAAAGGAACAGCAAGAAATTCAATCAGGTACACACGCTAGATTTGCAGACGAATACAACCGGATAGAAGAGGTTCGTAGGAGGCGTCTGAGAATCGCAGAGGAGCGTCGGAAGCGACGATCTTTGTTAGCGCAGGCAAATTTCGAGGCGCAACATAAGCAAGTATTGGATGAATTCATGGTAGAGTGTCGACAATGAACAATCGATACAATATTGAAGTACTGCCAACACGAGATATAATCTCAATACGGGATCATTAGGCCGCACGGAGATCATTGCGAATGAGCATGATTGAAGAAAGACAAGCAAAAATAATAAGATTACATAAGGAATATGCAGAAGGTAAGTCTTTGAATATCAATGTATTGTGATGCTTCGCATACAACTTTTGAAATCTATTTTGTTTACTGTTGTGCGCTTTCTTTCGAAAGAATGTCAAGGAATAGACCATAAGGATAGAGACTTACTCTTAAGAGTGATGGAAGAGGAAAATCCACAGAGGATAAGGCCTGTACATAAGAAAAAACTGCCACGAACGCTTTCGAAGAGAGCCGTAGAGACTCGCGATCGAAATAATGTTTTCCCGAGGTCGATCTCGTCAATAAATTCCATATCGCCATGGCTATCTCTAAGTCCAAACGGGCAAACGAAGGCAATAACGTTCGATATCCTTGTTTGGTGAATTTTCTGTTTGTTACTTGTGTGCGATAGACTCATTTGACTAGTTCCTTGACTAATAATTTCTCATTACGCGCGCGACCGGTAAAATTAACGGAAAGTGAGATTAGAGAAGATTTGAAGATAATGAAATCCAAGCCGTCATTTTCTTCTCATGCACCATTAAAAAACTCTGCAATATCGCAAAGAAGTCATAATAATTATTATGAACGCTCGCGGACAGGTTACCACCAGAGTGCCATTTTGAGTGCATGGTTGGCAGATGATACAGGAAGTTGCAGAAATGTAAATTATCATAATAAAATGTCTTGATTAAATTAATATTATTATTATTCAGAAAAATAGCGGTTATTCGGTGTCGGCAAATGGATTAATATTAATATTATCCCATCCCCGAAGAAAAGTTCGAGCTGAGATTGATACTAATTCACGTGAGCTTATTCTCTAAGAACGAGTTTACGCCCTCTAATTTACGACAGAATTCCTTACATATATGGTGGCCTGTACTACTCTCTGAAATCTAACCCTCTTCGCGCGATAAAAGAAATATTCACAATATACGAAAGATAGCCTACAGATTGATTTTGATGGACTGTTTAATATTATGAAATTTGACATAAAAAAGGCAAGATAAAGTTTTACTGTCTCATCTCGGTTCAGAAGTTGTGCCGTCCATCAATATATTTGATGTGAAGCCATTTTTATCGGAAAGATTAAACGCCATGACAATCTACTTCCCCCCAAAAAAAAGACGAACGGGCACTTGAATGAAGGGAAACGAATGTGAAGATTGAAAAGGTCAAGAGAGTCATACTAAAAAGGTTTCCCAAGGTCAAGAAAGGTTTACTCAGCTCACGTTTTGCACCCGGTTCGAAACTGGTGAGTCAACAGTCATGATACTTGAACATTTTGCTAGTAAACCGTCGCTGCCTTGGTCTAAATTATTACTTTGCATATTGGTTTACCATGCCAAAACAAAGTGAGAACCGCTCAGCCAAATTGCAAAAGCACTTTTTCTTTCAGTCCCCAAACCATGAAATACGCAATGAATATCTCACTGGCAGCATAATCCATTTCAGTTCGCTGAGCCAACACGGATGATTTCGGAAGATCAGAACGATTGCCCTCGAATGCTTTTTTTAAAAAAGAAACGATTCAACACAAAAGGGCAAGGAGATGTTCAACCATCATCTACTCAATGTTGGTAGAACCATACTGATCTTATTCATTCGACCATCATCATAAGAATTAAATTTATGGCGCAAACAGCATTATGTTTATTTTGATACCGTTCTTTAGGTATCCATAATATAATCTGGCGTTAGGCCAGTTATAGGGTTAAACAACTTACAGATTTTCGCACCTAAATCCTTCAAAACTCTCGACAGCATTTAACACTTTTTCAAAGAAACCAAAGTGACTTCCGTTGCCGTATCCCACTCAACCATTCTACACCTCCATTCTCTATCTTCATCAACCGTAACTACTTTCCCTTCTTCCATGCAATATGCCACGATCGCTCGATCTCTTCTTGACTTCATCCTCAGTTCATCCAGTTTAGTAAATTTTTCCGTATGATACAATACAATCAAACCGGATGGCAACTTGACGGATAACGCCTTCTCTACAGTGCGATAAAACTGTCTAAGGGATATAGTCCGCGGGAGAGATAGTTCGATGTGATAGTGCGGTAGCCAATGGATGTTGACGATGAACTTGGTTTTTGATATCGGTCGGGCTATTTTCTTGTCCGGAGTCGAACACGAATGTCCCCCATGACGAGGGAAATAGGCGATACTGTGATGGCGTGATTTGTATAATATCTTTCGATTGAGAGATGGTGGATTTGACGAGTGCGGTCGTCTTGCGCATTTCTTACGATTTATTGTTTTACGATCAAACTCATTATTAATATATAAATTATCCGTCAACGAGTCGGTACTTGTAATGCTGGAATCCGACCCTCGTCGTTTAGATAGATTTACCAACGAGAAACTGTTAATAAATCTAATCAATCGTTTTACAGGACTTGGTGTTGGTGGATGAATGGGCGTGGATCCTGGCCAAAATTGAGGTCCTTGTAGATATAAAGTATCATTCGATGGTGAATCTATACACGGGTAAGAGTGTGCGTCAGTCATACTGCGTTATTTCAACGAATATCGGTATACGATTGAGTAGAATAAAGAAGGATGAGAATGCGGTGTGAGCATTGAGGAAATGTAGAGTAGGTAAATAAATACATATTGAGAACTGGCTGTGCGCATCAGTCAAGTTCTAAAGTCGTCAAAAGAGATGAATCTGATGCATGATAGGGAAGGGATAGAGAGGTGGAGTTTAACCAGGAAACAATGGCGCTTGGTACAATTGAATAAATTATAAGATTCAATAATAATTGCTATTGTTAACCCAGCGTATGATTACAGGAGTCTGACATTGTATGCTGTAACCAGCACACACAAGGCAAAGTTAGATAGACGATATCCCAATCTTGTCAATATCTTTGTCATCATTATAAGACTTCACATGTCGTCTTTAAAGCTTGATTGATCACCCCTAATGGAATAGTAGATACGTGTCAATTTACAATAATGACTTAATTTGGTAATGTTTAATATTAATATGTAAACATTAAGCTATCCATATTACCTCACTTAAGATAACAATCTTTTTTCGATATTTTGTTTTCCGTTCAGGTTGTAGTCAACTTCATTAAGATATTATCAACTTTGTGAGAATGTGCACTGTTAAATTTAAAATCATGATTAAGAATTAACATGATAATAAGACATGCTGCAATATTAATAGATCCAGATATAAAGAACTTGTTATTATACAATAACAAGGATGTCTATTTTGGGAATTCAGGGCTGCTGAGAATACAGCTTTTACCTGTTCTAAAAATCACGTGATACATTATACAAACACCTTTACAGAAACCTGTAGTTTTTATAAATCTCTCTGTGACATCAGAATAAGATCACCACTATCTAACAGGTATCACGTAACGTAGATCACCATGAGGATTCTAATTTTAGTGTATCGTGAAGATGTGCCCACGAGATTTCGGGGATGCATGGAAATTTTACGAAGTTGAACAATCTAGCAGAATCTCATGACAAGATCGCCAGGATACTAATAGAAATTTAGCAATTTGTTGGTGACATCACGACGAGATGTTTGCAATATTTTCTGATTGTAAATGTCACGTGGTTATCAGCACAACGTCCTGCAAATCTCATCGAGACATTTTTAAAAAAATGCAAGTTTCTGTAAAGAAACGTTGAAAAGTAGCGTCATAAGTCTTCTTTAATACTAGTCTGACATAAACTAATTGAATCTCATGGCAAAAAATTTTGGCCTCATATCTTGCCAAAAACTATGAAGAACGTTAAATGTGATTTCTGTGGATAAGGAATTGCTGTAATCATGACAAGTAAAAATTATTCTACAAAACAAAACACTCTCCTAATATTCAATATTCAATTTATGTTTGAATTTACGTGTATTTTTGTTACCGTATAAATATTTTAAACTTCTGGTTAGCAGTTTTATATAGAACCTTTATGATTATGATTTAACAATTAATATTCGAGCATGGACTCCCGACTGACGTTAATTACTTTAGTAAATAAAAAAATCACAGAGATATTAACCATTATCGTTATTTGCGAGCTTAATTAGTGTTAGTACACAAATACAGCTAGCAACTGTTATTTACATGCATGGATTTGGTCTCATATCTTGCAAAAAACCATGAAGAACGTTAAATATGTTTTCTGTGGATAAGAAATTCTGCAACCATAGTAAGTAAAAATTATTCTACAAAACGAAAACACTCTCCCTAATATTCAATAATCAATTTATGTTTGAATTTACATGTATTTTTTGTTACCGTATAAATATTTTAGACTTCTGGTTAGTAGAACCTTTATGATTTAACAATTAATATTCGAGCATGGACTCCCGACTGACTTAATTACTCTAGGATCACAGAGATATTAAACCACTATCGCTATTGCAAGCCAGTACACAAATATAGCTAGCAACTGTTATTTGCATGCATGCGATCTGTGTTACTCGGGCATGTAGGATGGAGTCAGATTTACCAGTTTTACTGCCATATTTAGTATTAGACGGATAACGCCCATTGACATCATTTTACTCGTTTCATTTACCTTTAATATTAAGTTAACTCATATTCTAGTTTATAATAAGGCGTTGTTATTATGCCCGGAAAGCGTAAGATTATTTTATTACCCATTTTAATTTAATTTACCATTGCATACTAATACTTATAGCGTCATCACAATAACAGGACTCGAGTGACACTTATGACTTGGAACAGAATGCTTATGAAACCATTTGCTTGACTGTGAGAAACATCTAGAACAAATTAACGAAACAAAATAACTCTAGCCTAAACGATTTGCGTTCATATTGAGATTACTATAAGAGCATGTTCGAAATGCTGGGGTTTTGGGGCTAATTCCTTCTCACACACTTACAGCATATACAGGCGTTATCTACTTTACTTATTACAAGGCCACAATGCGTCATGTTCAGAGGACAAAAAATTATAATTGAGGCTATAATCCATGTCACTCCGCCAACGAGAATCTTACAGTCTCCGTTACAAATGTTTGTTGGCGTAGTTTCCTACTGTGAAACAAACTAACAGACGATGAATGGAAAAAATCAGCGATGAAGAATCTTTGTGAAACAAGATGCTTCTGATCAGGGGCCTCAAACACAAAAGCAAAAATGACGATCCGTTTTTTATATTTTTAGCAGACGAGTAAAAATAAAAACATCATTTTTATTGCATTATTCACAGAATCCAACATTAGAAGATAATCGTCTGTACATAAATCTTGTGCAACATTACAACATACTGACAACGGCGGATTGAAGTAAATTTCTAATTATTACAAATATGTATTCTTACCTCGCATAAAGTCTAAAATAGCAACAGTGCTGAGTCCATTCTTGCACAGTTGATGCTCGAATTGAATGTTTTGCGGACGTACTGTACTATCACTATGCTGTACGCAACGCATCGATATGTAAATTGATAAACATATGCAATTCAAAAAAGAAAAAGAGCTCCATAATGAAATATAGTATAATTCTTTGTCGTATTGGCATATGATTGACGAACCTTTCTTTAATTGGAGAACTATTTTAATCGATAGTTTTGTTTTATTACACGAGATAAGCATTGTACAAAAATGTTAATTGTTTAACTACGAAACTTCTATAATTAGCTTCAGGTGGAAATTTTACTTGTAAACCCTTTTTATGTGACTTAATTCACGGTGTTCTTAAATTACATAAGAACAATATTCACACCATGCTGACAAGACGTCATTATATAAAACAGTTGACAAGAAGATCACTTGGTTTAATTCTGAGCATCGGCCTACGTTTCTAGGAAGATTTTTCTGTTTATGACAGATTCGCTGCCAAGGTTGCGCTATATTGTGTGTTGACTATTTTAGACTATATAGAGAAGGAGTGGGGAAGACAAACTAGTCTCAATTTAGTAAACATGGAGCGAAGTAACAAATTTATGATTACACAATTGTGTCAACATCATCAAACCAGGAAATAAGAAATTACTATTTAGAAACGGGCATGTGAACAAAGGGTTGTCTAATATATAAAATCTCTGCTTGTTGACTGAACTTGGTGTCGTGTAAATTACTTTTCTTTTTCTACCTATTACCGCTTATGTCGATACATACTAATATCGTTAAACCGGAGTATAAAATATCCGCAGTAAAGTAATTGTCCTTGAAGCATCGTGTGCGCCGGCATTATGATAATTGGTGTAAATTTTGATTGTTCTACAGACGAATGAAAGGTTTATGACAAAAATTGACGAAAAATTGATGTATATTTAGAGCGCTGAGGTCAGGTGTTTATCTTGGCAGCGCACAAATACCTGTTTCACGATATTTATAGAAAATTTCCGTGACCATCCAAAACAATGTGACTTTGAACGTGACACGGGATGGAGAAGGGGGGAATTCGATGTCCATTATCTAATCAAAGATTTTGCGAAAGCATTTATTTGTGTCTATTAACATCATTTATGGCCAAAAGTCTCTATGAGAATGCTTTAATTAGACTGCCTCCATTTGAAAATGATATTTCCTTGTAGACGCTAGCCTTTTCCCATATACTTTTTATCATTTAAATCCCCGCAAGTTTGCCTTGAAGAGGATAAGTTCTTTCGAAATGGGCAAATGCGAATTAGGAGTTTAATATATTGATATTAATATGTAATCTTTCTAATTAATTAAAGTTTAATGCCCTTTTGATCGCACACAGATAACTACGTATGACGGATCGCCAAATGCATACAGATAAATAATATATTAATGGAAAATTCTTTTTCCTACAATACACATATAAATCGACTAATTTTTATTCATTGCGTCAATTTAGTGGATTTAAATTTGTGATTATAATACGTAAAATAGTAAAGGCATAATAATCATTTCCAGAAGCTGGTGATACCTAAATAGTGTATTTAAACCCCCTCATGACCTATCCCCACTCCATATCCTGAAACTCAAACAGTTCACGGATACCGTATTATCTGAGCGATGGCAAAAAGTTTTATTGCTTTGTCTTTATTTATCCTATTTAATGTTGCCAACGCCGCGCTTCCAGGGACATGGCCGGCGGTCGATCAACCTGTAGCGGCAGTTGCTGCTTGGAGTTCCCTGGTTGATATGTCAAAAGTAACAAAAGCTCCTCAACTTAATCAGACTACGACTTGTGCACAAGTTTCGAGCTTTTGTCGATCTCCCTGTGGTTGTAATCGCCCCAGTGATATCCTCAATTGTCCAACCAAAAAAGGTAAAGGATTACTTTAAACATTAATTGTGAGGTGACATTCGCTTAGTTCAACGATGCTTTGTTAACACATATTATTCATTGTCTCTATCATATATAGATTGGGGTCTTTCGTTCGATGATGGTCCTTCGTAAGTAATTTTATGATTGCTAAACATTGTTGTACAATTGGAGTTGTTACTCATATTATTGTCACATGATAGGCCCTATACATCGAGATTGGTAGATTTCTTAGATTCTCAAAAGATAAAGGTAAGTAATTGGTATTATTATTATTATTATTATTACATCATATGGTACTAATAATAGCCTTGTGTCACATTAGGCTACGTTCTTCGTAGTGGGCTCCCGCGTATATCAATTCCCAGAAGTTCTTAAGAAAATATATGACAGTGGTCAGTGTAACAGAATCATTCCGTTATTCCCGTATATTACTTTGTAGCTAATAATACCATTGAAATTAGGTCATGACATTGCGGTTCATACATGGTCACATACGGCTCTTACAAGTTTATCAAACGAACAGATCATTGCAGAAATAAAGTACACTGAATTAGCAATCCAGCAAGCAATAAATGTTACGACTCGCACTGTGCGACCGCCATATGGTGATTGTGACGACCGTGTTCGCGACATTCTTGGACAACTGGGTTATAAAATAATTTTATGGGACCGTGACGCTTCAGACTTTCTGGCTAATAGCAATCCTAATTTTAACGTCAATTGGATTCCTGGCAACTTTACTCAATGGATAGCTACTGACACTGGTACAACCGGACATATCTCTCTGGAACATGATTTGTATCAAAAGACAGCTCTGGCAGCCGAGAGCGTCGTGCCTGTTCTTCAAAAAGCTCAGTATAATATAGTGCCAGCGGCTACTTGTAATCGTATTAGTTTATATGCAAATTCGGTCGTTGCTCCTCCTCCTCCTCCTCCTACAAGCACCAATTCGGCTCCTTCGTCAGGTACCACTCCAGGTGCCACCTCAACAACCTCGAACACTACTACTGATGCTGCTACTTCTACACCTGCGTCAATCAGTAATGATCCGCAATCAGGTTCATCCCAATCAAATGCTGTATCGTTAGACAAAAGCATAGCGTCCTTATTTACTACATGTCTAATAACTGTTCTACTTTTTTATCAAACATTTTTATGATAATTATAATTTCTATTATTGTTATTTTCATTAAGATAATTATTAGAGAAAGAAGACCATAGAATTGAATCTTTTTACAAGAAATAATCGCTTTGAATGTATTTTTAGTAACATTTTGGCATCAAAACAAAAGAACGAGTATCCATTGTATATATGCATGCTTGTGGTAGAATTAATAAATGACTTGATCTCTGTACATTAAACTGATGACGACATAATCTGTTAGACGTGTTTAGGCATATACAGTACATACATAGTGAATCTTGCTATAGTAATAGTAAAAAACCTTTGTTATCACAATGTGTCTTATTGTAAACATGTTTTTAGTTATATTAATATCGTTGTATTTTGACGTCACCCTTTATGTTATCTTTTATTTTATTCCCTTTTGTCTTTCTGAACAAGGATTCGATTTAATCTCATTAGTAACATAGCTAAGTCGCCTATCGAGAGGACCGAATTATGAACATCACGTGAAGTTAACTGGAATGTTTACTTTGTTGATTGCAAATATTTAAGTCGTTTTGGTTACAAACACAGATTCGCATAGCATCATCATTACCATCAATCATACCAGATTCCTGCAATGTTAATGTACAGTTTAATTGGGTAACGACGTATAGTATTTTGAAGAGCTTGATAATCATTAATACTGATTATAGTGTCAATTAATTGTATGCGGACTTCCTCTCTTAAATCCAATACATCATGAATCGCTCTTAATCCTTCTTGCTTAATACATGCTTTTTAGCAACAGTTCTTGAAATAGATTATTGGGACGAGAATAACTATCTATTACTATGCTCTCGAAAATTTTTGAAATTGAGAGAAAATATTTTTCTCCCTGTATCGCATTAACTTTATCAAAAAAATTTTTCTTCTAGAAACTCAAAATCATGAGTATTCAAATCCATTACATTCTTTTGTAAGCTCCTGTACTTGAAACTTTCCTTGGCGAATAATCGTATGCGTGACCATTTCAAACGATGTTCCACGTAAACCTCCCAATTGTGTTATGTCCTTGTCGTAATTTTTCTAGGCACCCATCCATGACATATTTTGAGGCAAAAAAGCAAGTTAATGTAGCTTATGGTAAATATTTACCTCTCTGTTCTGTGTTGGTGTGTATATGAATAAGTTTGTGAGTGTATTTGTGACATGAAAAGGACTGGCCTTGATGGTAGAGTATGTTTGTATTAATTGATTTAATTGCATTCTCAAGAATCAATTTGGTGTCTGCTGGTGACATCGTGCTATCAAAGATCCACTGTGCTATCCCTCTGCATAACTTGAACTTTTCTATCACTAATGTTTCATCGATTTTAAGAACCTTACAACAGTCTAATACCTCATCTTCCTCCCATGTTGGCATATACATACTTTTGCACTGCGATACTTTAACAAAATCCTTAATCATTTCTTTTTTGGGAGAAGACACCATTATAAACTTTCCATTATAATTGTGACTGATTTGGGGTTCTCGGTAGTCAATTATGCACCATGTATCCGATGCTTGTGCCAAAGTTTTGTATTCGTCGCTATTCACTTTAAACGTAATTTTTTCAATAGGATTTATGTATAATGTAAAGTCTTTATGATCCACTAACAACAATCTTCCAAAATAGGTCTTTGCGATTCCGGGGTTCCGGTGATTAAATATCGTTTGAAGTCTTTGCCACTGAATATAAATTCGCGGAAATAAGAATAACACTGTCGATTATATATAGTTGTATATTCACTATCCCTGGCAATAGTGGCACTCTGAAGATTTGTTGATTTGTGTCGACCGTGTTTAAGTTATCAATAAGATTTATAATCTTATCCGCATCTAGAAAAGGTACAAGTCAGGATGTTTTTGTTTTTAATAAAGGCAAGGCCAACATTAAAAGAAAAAAAATACCTCGCTGTTTGAGGTGTGATAATCTTTCCTTTTTAATTCGGACTTCACTCTCATCATCTGAATCCCCATATCCTCTTTTTTTTCCTGATCAAATGAAAAATTATAAGATGTGAGATAATGCGATGGAATGATTGGTTCAATGGCAAGCATATTTCTGTTGTGATAATTTCTTTCGATTTGCTGCTACCTATTTGCTACACACCCTTCAATGAATATTACAGTAGAAAGAATAAACCAAGGATAGTAAAAATAATTTGGTTCGCTCTACTCTGTAGATAAAATGTAAACCTACATGCATATTACCATGTCTGCTCTACCTTATGTACACACTATTCTATGTCCCCAACAAAGTCGTTACCTGTGACAGCGGGGAACTGACGTAGCCTTTCCCTCCATTCCTCCATCTCCTTCGTTCGAGTTTCGACCGCCTGATCCAGCATCGTCTTCTCCTCCTCTAGTCTCTTCTTCTTGTCCCTTTTGTCGTCGCTGAGCTTGCCAGTGCGCGCCTTGCTCCTCAACGTCTTTAGCCACTTCCCGTCATCATTGTCGTTCTCAAACGTCTCCAGCTTCCCCTTCGCCTCCGCCAGCATTTCCTTCGCGTCCTTGAACTCGTTCTTAATCTTTTCTGTAATTGCCATTTTCTTGTTCGTTTGTTTCGATGGAAGATGTGCTGCGCGATGTGATCTAATATACTAACGCTTAATCAATGACGAACTTCTAGACCTTTTCACAATGTAACTATTGTTTCCCTGTACTGTATTAGTAGTTTACTGCTCGCATTTAGAATGATCACGCCACACGTAATAGCAATTAATTGTATGTAAAAAGTAAAACTTCTTTGCTTAAACGGAGTAATCTCCATCAGCAAACATCATTCTTGTGATTCTAGTCTATATGACAGCACAATGATATAAATAGAGACGCAATTTGCGAGTTTCGTTTTTTATTTAAAGATTTGAATATACATTGCAAAGATTATAGTACGCACGTATACAAGATTTTACTAATAAAACATGAAATTTTCAAGTCTATATTTTTTTAAACAAATTTATATCATTGTAAAGCTAAATTATTGTATGTTTAATTGAGAGATATAAGCAATTTTAAGATATTACTGTTGCAGTGTGAGGAGGAGACGAAGGCTTCACTTGATTAATATCAAATGATCGACGTAATACATAGTAAATTGTATTTATACTTTTGGCGGGGGGTATATACGACAATCGTTAATATTTTGAAATCGCTGATATCTTTCAATTAAAACTACAATCATTTAGCTTTACAATTATATAAATTTTATTGGTACTTGTTTAAAAAATATAGAGAATTAGCGACTTAAAATTTTCGATTTTTCATATGTTTGACTAGTAAAATCTTGTATTTATACTTTTGGCAGGGCAGAACAGCAGTGATTACAAACAAATGTGTTGATCGGAAAATAACCAGTTTTTGCAAGTCAAAAAGCGAACGATCAGTGTATGTCAGGAGCGGATAGAAGTAAACATTTTAGCAAGTCAGAAAAAATGGTAGAAGTGAACGATTATTAACGGATGAAATAAACAATTTAGTATTAGAAAGTCAGAAAAATGGATAGAAGTAAACGATTCAGTAAGTTAAACGGATAGAATTAAACAGTTTTTTAGTAAATTAGAAAACAAATAGAAACAAACATATTAGATGTGTGAATTAAAGTTATAAAGCCAAAGCATCAGTAACAAAGTATACAGTAATAACAAAGCAATTACAGTGACTGTAGTTTCTGAACGCTTACTCCAAGTGAGGTCTTGCCAAAAATTAAAACTTCTCGTTTAGTCTCCATCTCCGTACTTGAAACCATTGACATTCAATATGTGAATAAAAGAAATAAAGAAAACAACGCGAACACAACAAAATCTCCCCATTTATCCAAAAATCTTGACAGTTTAGTGGAACGATAATTAGTTATAAATACGAGTCGTAGTGAATAGCTAAATATCATCTTCAGTAATTGATCTGTTCTTTAGATTATATCTTCAGCAAGACGTTGCTATTAGGATAGTTTCTCTTATTCTAATAAAGATAATATTTTCTTATAAACATTGTTATTTTGTTTACTCCCTGGTAAAGATACTTTGCGTCGTTGGCGAAGTGTAAACCGCTTTTCCCGTCATCGGCGAGTAGGATTGATACTTGCCAATCGATTTTATTTAGTACTTTTGCATCAGGATTATTATTTAATTTAGAAGTAATTTCCCCGACTGATAGGTCCTGAGACTAATCCCATCAGAGAAATCGACGTAATACTCGAGGTTAAGTAATAATTCAGGAACAGCGTGAATAATTGTACAGATCGTGAATATAAAACCTAGTTAAATGTCACTAATTGTCGGTTTGAAGTAGGAAGAGCAAAAAAGCTTCCGTCGGAAAAGGTCTAAATACCAAGGCTAGTGCACCGCCGCTCTCCCGGGTGGAAGCTAGCTCGACATTGCAGTTATCCACAAATCTTCCAAAAACTGGATGCATGAGTGTAACTGGTATAGACTTAGCTCCTGGATGACGATGGCATAGCATTTGTGGGGAGTTAGGGCTGTTACACCTGGGAGAGCAGCGGTGTACTGGCCATTTTGGGATTTAGTTCTTTTCCAACGGAAGCCTTTGCTCTTCCTACGTCAAACTAAATATCGATACAATTAGTGACCTTTAAACTAGGATTTATACTCACGATCTGTATATTATCGGTCTTGTGTCCTAGAGTATTGTGTAACCTCGATGTCTTTGATGGGATTAGTCTCAAAGCCTATCGGTTCAGGGAATTTATCTTATCTAAAACTACTAGTAATAATTAAACAATAGTCTTGAATGCAAAAGTACTATCTATTCGCCGATGATGGGGAAAGCAATTTACACTTCGCCAACGACGCCAAATACCTCTTATCAGAAATAACAATATTTGTAATTAAATAGGATTTTTATTAGAATAAAGAACTATCCTAATAGCAACGTCTTGCTGAAGATATGATCTGAACTGAACAGCAGATTATTTTTAGCTACAGACTACGACTCTTATTTATAACTAATTACTGTTTCACTGCTGTCAAGATTTTTGGCTCGATGGAGTAAT